TCGAAATGGTTTTGTAATTTCTCGGATCGAAGGTCATATAATGAAGGTACGCATTTTTAATCAAATGATGCATTTTCGTGAAGATAAATTATGAAATTTAAAAAATTAATGAGCCTCATGAAACGTTACTGTATGTATACATTTCACAATTTTCGACAATGACCGACACTATATTTCTTTATCGGAACATAGCGATTTTCATCACGTTTTAACATATTCTTCTTCATCCCAGAACAATCTGGACATATTTTTTATCGCACCTTGTGTATCCATCGTCAAGAATAAATATAAGTTTCATACTTCTGGAACTACAATCGTGATTTTTTCAATTTCATTTTGATTAAAAATGCATACCTCCATTATATGACCTTTGATCCGAGAAATTACAAAACCATTTCGAGGTCAGACACCAGACATCCTCATGACGAGATTATACTCTATTATTTTACTAGTAACACATAGAAAATTATGTTTCATCTATAGAAGACTACGTTATTCTCCATTCCATGATTCAGTATTTCTTGTATCACTTTGTATAGACTTCTTCAGAATTTTCTGTGTTCGAACACAATCACATATCCGACGACTATACATACAACGTTGATTCTTCAAAAAAGAATTCCAACTTCCATTTTCATTCAATTAATCGTCGAAAAAATGCATCATGTTGAATGAATCCACCACGACGTTATCAATGTTGACCAGTTTATAAAAATGCCTCAAGTATTTATTTTTCAAGATTCATCTCATTTCAACTACATTCTAACAAGAATACCTTACTCATGTGAAAGTATTCGAAGAATCATATTCTGGTATAGTTGGAGAACCGGCTGCAGATTTCTACCATTATCTAATAACGAAATGATATTCGCAAGATCCACGAAGTGGGCGACATTTAGGTTACATAATACGAACTTCAAACTGGGGGAAAACAAACTGTTGTCTATGGATAAAGTGCATAGACTACATTGCATTCAGCTTGCTGTAGCTGTAGTCAAACTTGTCAATGACATAAAGTGTTGGCACTGTTGGTAGTGATGATGGTTGAGTTGGTTAATTTTTTTTCATCATTACATTTTTATTAGTTTAGTGAACAGTGAACAGGTAAAGAATTGGAGATAGTTCAAACAATTCAAACTAATTATGACGAGCAAGTCAATTGACATATAAAAGAACAGCTACAACATGTTTACAATACCCAGATTGTCCTGCTTTGCATGAACAAATACAAATCCATTGTTCTACAGGAGTTCCTCGGGACCCCAACTTCAATTTTACTTCATGTGTGGAAGATTTCATCGCCAAAGTTTGTAGACAAAGTGCAAAAATGTGCCTTTTGTTGAAGTCATCTGCCTCACACAAAATCACATGATTAGCACGGAGAACTGCTTCTCCTTCCACTACTGGTCTGGTTTTTCCGTCTAAATAGAGCAAAATAACTGCCAAAAGAACATCTACCAACAGGCATTATTAGCGTTTTCGACCGAATGTTGACAATAATTGATGTCAAGAAATTTAAAAACATCACTCGTATCAGTACACAGTACACAAGCTAATGGCACTAAGGGGATTGAGTGAGGATTGAGTTTGTTTTCCCCCTGTTTTGACGTAGCTTTGACATGGAACGATTAAAACCGAGCGCCACCTGGTGTCATTGATTCCCGCGAATATGTATGTCCCAAAGGAAAGTTAAAATATTGTAGTTCATCGAACGGCACCTGTGCCAATCTTTATCCTGAGCAAAATTATAAAATCATTGCACTTTCCTGTGCGGAAATTTGCACTAGATTTAATGACGAGCTAAGAATCATACCATCTCATACCAATTGAATGGTAAATCTCAAAAACTTACCTGTGCCACCTCTCAGTCTGAGCCAAATCCACGGCACAGCGATTTATTTGCTACTTTTATTCCGGACATACTTCTGTCATGTGATAACGAGTTGTCAACCTTCATTTGCTGATGTCAAATCAACTATTCACAATATCTAATAGATTTTACGTGTCATTGAAACCGTGGTGTGAATATAAGTTTCAAGGTCAACGATAAAATATGCACCTTGGGAGAAGAATGTCTATTGTCTCGCCTGCTTGCTAGCCTCGGCTGGGCCTCGCATATCAATTTTTATTCATTTTGTCTCTAGATTCTGCAGTTGAAATCTTTCTATGTTATTTCAGGACAAAACACCCCTTATAGATGATAACGGAGAAGTTGTTCAATGAAATCCTGTCATCTGCCAGAACAATATTAACACTATTTTGTAATAAATTGTGATTTTCTAGACTTAAGATTCGAGTATTGAATTTACCTTAAAAATAACATATATTGAAAACGTATTTATTGTTTTTTTTTCAATAGTAAAAGTAGATATGTTATTTTATTGTGTGCCAAATAGCCCGGGTAATATTATGAAATTATTTAGTTACCTTCACTTCAATACCTCAATTAAATGTCAGAACATAATTATTTCAGTAATTTCTTCATCTTCGAACTTTGAAAGAAAAATATATTTTTTTATCAATTGAAAATATTGAACTGAGTATATTTTAAATATAATGTATTCCATGTAGTTTATGTTTCGTAGGACTTTTATATATGATATTTGTAGTTATATTTTGTTATACATATAATGACAGAGTAATATATTGAGGTTTTAATTTTTGAATTAATAACAATTTTAATATATTTATTTTGTGTGTAACTTTTTATAAAAACTACTGAATAAAGTTTCATTTTACATACAGAGGCTGTTTCTGATGTCCTAAATGAAAATCTGAAGTCCGTTCGTTTTCATCTCACTCAAAAATTTTAAAAATTGTCTGAAAGATCCCTGAAAATGCATAAAAATCCATCTTATGAGCAAAATACAATCGATTTTCAGTCTATTGAGGTACTAGATCGAACCATTTTATATAGAAGGTACCGCAGGGAAAGAGATGTAAAACAATTGACCATTTCTTATTTTTAAATAAAGATAGCTGTGCTTCTACTCCGCTATAGAGCATCCCTTAATGACTCTGTATTCCAAATTTAGAGGCCCTACGACAAAGTTGATTCTTGGATGTGGATTTTGGGTCTGGAAAGAAGACCCCTTTTTTCATCCAACTCAAACCGTCAGAATGAGCTGAGAACTTCGATGTGCCGAACAAGAATCTAAAGTTAGTTTTCCTCAATCTATATCTTATTTGTATTTGAAACAAATTTCAAGAGGAAATAAACGAGTGTAGATAATTTATTCAAAATTATTACTCGTAGCAGAGCGCTTTCGACTGTTAAGTCATCATCAGTGCATACTCGTCAGGTTAACAAGGAAATTTGTCAATACAAATATCTCTGGTCCAGTTCAAAAATATCGACATTATGAAGATTATGGTTGAATACGGTGCAAACAGATTAAAATATGATTCCCAAAAAAGGGTAAAATCGTTACCACCGATACAACAAGGCCAGCAGACTCTGACGTAAACAGCTCGTGACGTCATCAAGAGAGGCCAGTGTTTTATTTTATCGCTTGTCGACTAACGCGTCAGTTCGTGTTAATTCATCGGTGATTCACGTATGTTTTTGAAACGGTCCCGAATTCTTTTTTTGTTTATTCATCAAAATAATTGGCGGAAAAATTACTGTTTTGTGAAATATTTTGTGTTGTGATCGGCGAAATAACAATGCCATTCAAGTGTTGTCTTCCCTTTTGTCGGGGGAATTATGTGGGTGGTTCAAAAGTTCATGCTTTTAGTTTCCCGTTGGACGAGGAGCTATCGAAAATGTGGGTATATGCAATTCACCGCGAGGATTTTACTCCATCTGAGTTCAGTAGTAAACAGAGCTTAATTTATAATGATGAATTAATAATAGAAGACAATTACTCTCTCATAAAAAGTATAGAGGAAAAATAGAAAAGCTTTGATTGTGCAGTTAGTTTCGTATTCGTATATTATAGTCAACAAAATCATCTCTGAATTCGAGGAAATTTTCTTGAATGTTCATAATAAACGGGCATTTTTAATTCTCATTCTCAAATTTCTTTCTGAAAACGGTCATTTGCCTCGTGGCAATGAATGCAGAATTCATTCCAATGATCAAATTGCAACTATCATATTAACATGAACTACAAACACTCTACTTAAAAAGGTAAAACTGCATTTATCATGAAGATATTTGACTAAAAAATTTCAAATTTCACATTCTTTTTCACCTGTCTTCTGGATGGCATTTAGAACAAATTTCCCTTCTTTTTTCATCATATTGGACAATTTATATTACCAATACCCCGGCATCGTCACTAGGCCGGACTTCTCCCGCTAGTTCAATGTTTGCTGGGATTGCTAATTTTCTATTTTTAAAGATAGAGACCTGTGCTTTCACTCCTTACTATAGGGCATCCCTTGAGGACTCTGTATACCAAATTTGAAAACTTTATGACAAAGTTGATTTTGATTGGGTCTGAAAAAGAACTACAGATACTTCCACAGCAAATGTTCCTCAGAAATCTCTGTTATAATTCACTATAGTACACTGTTGTCTTATACTATATGCTTTATGCGTAATTTTCCGAAAAATATTCATTTTAGGAAGAAGGTTCATTTAGGCTGAGTTAGGTTAGATTGTTCAGAAAAAGTAGTCTTCCCCTCAAGTAATTTATCTAAATATATACTATTTAGGAAGGTTCATTTAGGCCGAGTTAGGTTAGATTGTTCTGAAAAAGTATAGTCTCTTGCTATCTCAAGTAATTTTCAGAAAAATATACTTCCCAGGAAGAAAGATTCATAGGTTGTTATCGACGTGCTGAATGAGAGTCTGAAGAATGTTTGTTTTAATCTCACTTGGTTTCCGAAATATTTGTGATCAGGTCAAAGATTGCAACAAGCTAAAGAGTTGTGCTGTATACCAAACTTGGTGGTTCGAGATGCCAGAATGGGCGGAGTACTGGCATACCTTCAGCGTATTCTAACTCTTTTGGTTTTTCCAAGTTATTTGCCTTAATCAATGTGAAGGATATCCTGGTAGTGATATTTTATTATTCTAGGCTTGAATGAAACACTTATTAACAAATATTACTTGATATATAATCTTCCGACCTAACTGTACTTTATACACTTTGATATAATTAAAACATAGAATCAATGAGACCGAGCAATGTCAGAAAAGAAATGTAAAATATCTTCAATAGCAAAATCCAAAGTGATCATAGACCCCGGATAGCACTGTTGGATCAAATCTTCCAACATTTTGTATTGCCTGATGAACTCCTCTTGCATTGCTCTCCAAACTACTTGCAGCAGATTTTCCTCTTCGGACAAATGTTTTTCCACTTTCTTATACAGTGATTCCAAACCTTTTTTCACCTGAAAAAAAAAACAAAAACAGGTACAGTCTGGACAATAAGGCCATATTCTGAACCCATAGTCTACATCAAGCTCTTCAAAGAAATCAACTCATTCATTGCTATCATACAATTTATTTATATTTTAGAAACGAAACGCTTTTGGAGTTATCAATCTTATATCATAACAAAGTGAATGCGACCAACTAACAAACTTACTTTCAGTTAGCAAAGTAGAACACGTACGTGAGGGAGCAAATTTTCGTATGACAAAAATGGAAAAAACATGTTTTGAAACAATAGTAATTTACGTAATAAGTCCGAGTCGTAGGCGAGTTTTGGAAGTCTGCGAGTCCAAAAAAACTGTTTTTGGACGTGTTGGATACACAATTTTTTCGGTAACCATGTAGAATAACAAATCAATGAGACACATTTCCATATTATATTTCTTGGTTGAATAAAATTTCTTCTTTATTAATTCCCATTTGTATCAAACACTGAAATTAGGACAGAATACCTATACCTACTAACTGTTACATTGGAAATTTCGTATGGACATTTTCAAACTCACTATCGCGGCTGCTTTCGATAGTTTATTGCGATAATTGCAACAAAACTAAAAAAATCAAAATGCCAACTAATTTCATGTCAAATAGCTGTCAGCTGATTTTCGCTGCTATGTTTTATTTTGCTATATTGTATTTCAGAAAGAGTCAATTGTATTTCAGAAAATATATTGAGATACAATGGACGGTTTCTGAGATACAATTGATAATTCTGAAATACAATTATTGGACTTTCTGGAATACAAGTAACTATTCTGAAATACAATTGACGCTTTCTGAAATTGAATTTGTAAAAACTATAAACAAACGATAAGATCTCCACGAAATTGTCAGGTGATACACTGGTACAATGAACTAAACTAACCTTGGCTTGCCTAACTTTTATATATCCTACTTTCCCAACCTGAAGGATTAGTTACCTGTGGACAGGTTCGATAAACCTTCGTTTTCGGAAATTAGGCAAAATATCTACATTAAAATACGGTGTACCGAATTAACTTGAAAGGGTTGATACTGATACTGAGAAAACAAATTCAACAGTGGTGAACTATTGAGGTCTGATTGATCTTTGAGTAAAATGTCAGAATTTTTGAGTTTGTTCATTTCCATTGATTCAAAGTGATTGAGTTTTATTCCTTTATTTTCTACGTGTAAAATTTCGTAATTATCATCGAAACTATGGTTTTCTTCTAATATATGGTTGGCGTATGTTGAATTTGTTTTCTGGTTGAGTTTGTATATACAAACTCAACTGTGGATCTTGCCCCAAGGTATATATCGGTCTGACAGGTCGTACGTTCAATCAGCGCATTCATGAACATAAGATGAATTTTTTGAAAAAAAAAACCAAATTCAACATACGCCAACCATGTATCAGAAAAATACCATAGTTTTGATGATAATCTCGAGAATCTACAAGTAGAAAATAAAGGAATAAAACTCAATCGTTTTAAATCAGTAGAAATCAACAAACTCCAAAATTCTGACATTTTACTCAACGATCAACTAGACCTCAATAGTTTACACTGTTGAATTTGTTTTCTTAGTAGGAAATAATATGTATTTGCCATCAACCCTCCCAAGTTAATCCGGTACACCGTACTTTAATTTAGATTTTGTGCCTAATTTCCGAAAATGAAGGTTAATCGAACCTGTCCACAAGAAAGTAACTAATCCTTCAGGTTGGGAAAGTAAGATATATAAAAGTTAGAAAAGCCAAGGTTAGTTTGGTTCATTGTACCAGTATATCACCTGATGAAGCTACTATGCTAGCGAAACATGTCGTGTGTTTGAGAATTTTGTGGAAACTTTATCGTTTGTAAAGTTTTTAGATTTGCCATATAACTCTGCAAAAACGAGATTTTTTGTTTTTTCACTTTTTCCCGACGAGGTCTTATGATTACGATCATGAAAATATTGACAATGGTCAGTTGAGGTTATGTTCAAAAATTTTCTCAATGAATTGAGTATGCATGACGATTGGTTTTTGAGATACAGATGAGACTATTTGAGGGTAATGAGAAAGCTTCAAGTGCAATAAATTTCAATAATGATTTGAAATACTTACTTACGTTTGAATTTTTGTGATGAACAATAATACAGAGTACATTGTGAAATTCAAAAATAGTACCTGACGTTTCATATAACCCTTGCCGTTTCATATACAGTGTGTCCCACTTAGCATGCTCACCATGGGTATCTTTTAAACGGTGAGAGATACGAGGTCGGTTAAATGACACCAAATGTGGAGTTTGTCAGGGCCAACTATAATGTGAAAAAATATTTTGATAAAATCTATTCGTTTTTGTTTTATAGGCAAATAACAGATTTTGATCATTTTCATGTCTCCTCCGTAACTTCTTTATTTATGAAAATATTCAAATAGGAATTTCACATTCTCATGGCAGTTTTTCAAAGTGATTTCGAAACAAATATGAAATTTATACCAACTCTTCTATAATTTGAGATATCAGCACCAACTTTAGTTTTTCAAATGTAGGTCATAGCTCACTATGACTTAGTTACAAATAACTTTTTTTTCTCTTTCAGATGATATGTCGCAGTAATAGTTTTGTGTTGATAACAACGGAGTTATCGTCATTTATACAAGAACAAAAAATTATTTGGAAGCCGCCATCTTGCATTTATAAATTTTAACAAGAAAATCATGATCTCCGACCTCAAAAACCCCCACTCACCAATTTTGAATGGAATCGGACCAAATCTTGTCCGCCATCTTGGAGCAGCCATTTTTTTTAATTTCAACAAAAATTCCATCACTCCGATTACCTTGAAATTTGGCAGGTGTTCATTATTTCGGTGACAATACATTATAGAATTTTTGTTGAAATTAAAAAAAAAGGCTGCTCCAAGATGGCGGACAAGATTTGTTCCGATTCCATTCAAAATTGGTAAGTGGGTGTTTTTGAGGTCGGAGATCATGCTTTTTTGATAAAATTCATAAATTCAAGATGGCGGATCCAAATAATTTTTTGTTTTTGTGTAAATGACGATAACTCCGTTGTTATCAACACAAAACTATTACTGCAACATGTCATCTGTAAGGGAAAAAAAAGTTATTTGTAACTTAATCATACCCATTGACCTACATTTGAAAAACTAAAGTTGGTGCTGATATCTCAAATTCTAGAAGAGTTGGTATAAATTTCATATTTTTTTCGAAATCACTTTGAAAAACTGCCATGAGAATGTGAAATTCCTTTCTGAATATTTTCATAAGAAATAAGTTACGGAGGAGACATGAAAATGATCAAAATCTGTTTTTTGCGTATAAAACAAAAACGAATAGATTTTATCAAAATATTTTTTCACATTATAGTTGGCCTTGACAAACTCCACATTTGGTGTCATTTAACCGGCCTCGTATCTCTCACCGTTTAAAAGATACCCATGGTGAGCATGGTAAGTGGGACACCCTGTATACTCAGATGGCGGTACTTTCTGAAATACAAGTGACTATTCTGAATTACAATTGACGCTTTCTGAAATTGAATTGACGCTTTCGGAAATACAACTGGAAAATGTGTAGTAAACGGTTGTCGATATCACGAGACTCACCATGCTTCCTGGATATTGATTGATGACTTTCCTCAATTCCTGTTTGCTGAAGGCCAACTGGTAGCTGACTTCGGAGGCCTTCACGCCGCTAGCCACTCTAGCCTGGACCCCTTCGAAGAATGTCTAAAACACAAATACACTGCTGATCAATTGCACTGCAACAGGCACATTTTTGAACTGAATTCAACATTGAAATTTCCGCGACAATTCCACATATTCGGATGCGGTCTTCTTTATTTTGGAGACTGACTACTAGATTGCTGATGGAAATAGACGGTGACATCTGTTTATACAGAGTGACAAACAAACCAAAATAACTTCAATAACGATAAGGTTTATGAAAAATGTATGAATCATGTTGACACATAAATTTTGAACCCTGAGTAAACTCAAGGTATATAGGAGATACAGGGTCTGTTAAATCATGGCAAAGTTGCGCAATCTCATGCATAACAAAATGCTGTTTCTAAACGGAAAATTTTTGAAAAAACAGAATTTCATTAAACTTTTTGATTTATTTTTCATATTATTCGAAGAAATTAATCGAAATGAATGACACTTTATTATGGCCACTTTTTCTTTCCTACAAACTGAAAACTGACGTTTTCAAGTTTGAAATCCGACGTTTTGACTTACAGAAACCATCATCAATATATTTTTTCAAATACGGACCTGCATTTTTATTCAACTTTTTCAGACCTTTGGATATCCCAAAAGCTATCAGCTATCACAATTTTTCATTTTCGAATGTTTCGTTTACAAAAATTTACATTTTCTGAATTCGGAATTTTGCAAGTATCCAAACGTCATTTTGCCAGGCATGGAACTGTGCAATTCTGCCATAATTTAACTTACCCTGTATCTCTTACGGTTGACGAGATCCCAATGATGAGGCTCGATTTCCAGCCACCCTGTACTATTCAATGACACCAATAATAAAAGTATAGCGATCAGAATGAGATTTGGGGCAAGACCCTTATTTCCACCCACAATTCTACTCATCGAGAGCAATTCGCTCATGCAAGGCATATACAGGGTGGCCCTTTGAAAACGAAACGGAGGATTATGAAAAATCTGAAACGCGTCAACTATATTTTCGAGGGGGACATCGTTCTAAAATATTTTCAGCCCTGCGGCGTTGCCGCTTCTAACGAAAAGAAGCAACAACTTTGTGATTTCAAATGAAACACCTTGTATTATTGCATTTTTAGATTCTCCCCTAAGAGCTGATTTCATCAATGCATCACACTTGGGGTCTAGCTGCAATGATTTGAGGGATATAATGTGTTCAAAATCGAGATTTTTCAACTTTAGCATTTTTTTGTGTCGAAACTATTCATTATTGGTCAGAACGGCTTTAATGTTTTATGATTTATTATCTACTAACATTTGATTGGAACAGATACAGGGTGATTAGAATTCTGAACCTTGAACCACCCTGTTTTTGTTTCAAATAAAAGTCAGTAGATAGTGAATCGAAAGTTGAGATAGGGTTATATGAGCCGCTTTGACCAATGATGAATAGGTTCGACACAAAAAAATCCTTAAGGTGAAAAATATAGATTTTGAACACCCTATAGCTCTGTAATCATTGCCGCTAGATCTCAAGTGTGATGCATTGATGAAATCAGCTCTGCGGGGAGAATCTAGAAATGTAAGAAATACAAGGTGTTCCATTTGAAATAACACTAGTGCGGAAATTTTTTCCCACACTAGTACGGGTAGAACATTTGTATAATATTCTCGCAAAATATAAGTGGTGGGTGAAACAATATGAAAATTTTAGGTTTTTTTGTTGCAGAATTTAGTAAGTTTGTACAAAATCACCCATCGAATTGCACTATTTATTGTGAAAATGAAGAGATATTGAAAAATAATAATTGATTGTTATATAAATCCCCCTATAGCCTTCGATTTTTTTTGTTTTCTGGTTCCCACGCAAAGGGATATCCTCTTATGTTCAGACAACATCGTGAGAACCAAGGGAAATAAGGTAGAAATTGGTGTTCTTCTTAAATTTCTGGAGGTTATATGCCTCGGGGAACACCTCCCTTGGAAATGTGTTCCAGAGCCTCGCTGTTCGTTGGATGAACGAGTCTTTGGAAAGAGATGTTCTGCAGGTCTCCAAAGTGACCACGAAGGGGTGCGAAGCCTCAGCTCGACGGGTTAATCTCGCGGGGACAATTGTTGTCATGTCAATCAAAACACAAATTAGTTAGTGTAGTTCTCAGAGTGACAGACAGAGCGGTACTGTCATTTTCGATTCAGTAAAATTGCGATGAAAAACTTCCAGCTACAGATGCGATACAGATGAGTTATAGCCAACAAAGTCTCAAGAAAGGTATAAGAAGCACTAAACTGGATTTATTGAATGGTTCAATAGTAAAAAAGTGAAAACACCAAATGAAGAAGAAATAATTTTGGCTCATTTCCTAGAAATTTCTGAAACCTAGAGGCCCAACACCATGGGCATGCTGGCTCTTCCGCAATAAGCTTACCTACATAATGCTTCAAACGGTACATACAATATAGATATATCACTAGTTATTAGAAGATAGAGGATATATCACTATTGTTAGTCGTTCCTATTAGCAGGAATGATTGATTGAACAAATCACTAAATTTCCTATGCTTGTAGAAAAAATATTGTTCCTAGCTCATGCGGAAAGTGTCTTTCCCGCACTCAGCTTACCTACATAATGCTTCAAACGGTACACACAATAGATATATCACTAATTATTAGAAGATAGAGAATATATCTCCATTGCTAGTTGTTCCTATTTGGCAGGATTAATTGACTGAACAAATCAATCAATTTCCTACGCTTGTAGAAAAAATATTATTCCTAACTCACGCGGAAAGTGTCTTTCCCGCACTCGACTGCTTGCCCGGCATTTGGGTGCGGGAAAGTATCACTTTCCGCACTTGTTAGGAAATAGTATATTGTGCAACAAGTGGGGAAAGTTCACCTTTTCTCACGAGTGTGAAAGTTTGTGGCACGAGCCTGAAGGGCGAGTGATGCAAACACACGAGTGAGAAAAGTACTTTTTCTACTCACATAACTAAAATGGCATTTATCGTACGGATATGTACCACGCTAAATGATCGATTAATCACGGATTGTCGATCTGTGATTTATTCAAAATATTAAACACGTTACCATGGCAACACGATTTCTTAAACACATCACCATGGCAACGCAGTTCATTAAACACAGCTTCAGTAATTCGAGACATGTCTGGCCTGTCAATTGTATTAACTGTCAACTACGATTTTCATATTTTGTATCAGAATTATTCAAACAATATTCGTTTGTATCGAAATTCTTCATTAAAAATATATGCGAAAAGTAGACGAGAGGAAATCGAAGAGAATGTTCAGGTACTTACATACCTCCAAGAAGTGTGAAAATGAAGCATCCATCTTTGAGATCAATTTATTTATTCAGCGCTAAGCATGACAATAAACGTGAAACAAAGTTTAGTAAGCAATGGACTGGACAGATCTACAACCAATATCACTTATACGTGTCTCGCTGCTTGCATGCAGTTAGTTGCATGTATCATGTTCTCAATTCCCATTCCTTCCGAATTATTTTGTAGGTTAGCAGGAATAGCAGGTATGTTAATTAATGTGATTTTTGGAGTTCGTAGAAAAATCATAGTATGTAACGCGTTTATAAACTCTTCTAGACACTCGTTTATTGAACACTCGCTCCGCTCTGCTCCGCTCGTGCTTAAACTACTCGTTACTAAAAGGACGTTTATAACACTTGTTACATAATATACTATTTCCTCACATGTTGCACACTATACTTTTTCTACAATATTGTGACCAAAGAGTAGACGCCTTTTCTAGTTCCTCAAAGTATTTCAAAAAAGTACACTTTCCGAAAAAGATTTTATTTCTGTATTTTTTTTTAGATTCCATGAATTTCCGTATATGACAAAACATACTTTTTTCTTGAAATTTCCGGAAACAAATCCAACATTCGCAGCGGTTTCCATCATCTCTGACTCTGGCGGTGTATTTATCAAAATCGTCACATCTTGGTATATACCGGGTGACACAGGTTATCGGTCCACCCCTGTAACTTCTGCATTCGTCAACGGATTTTTCTGAAATTTTGTACAGTTATATAAGCAACTATTTCGGATTTGATCACATTACAATCCAATATGGCGGACTTCCGGTTTTTCTGGAAATGCCAGCAATTTTGTTTTTTCAAATGGAACACCCTGTTTATTTTTACATATTCAAGTTCAACAGGTCAAAACAAGTGCAATCTTGATGTCAAATGTCATTAATTCCACAGCCTACCTAGTTGAAAAATTATTCTAACTGCAAGGAATTCATAAACTAGTTGTTGATTTTTGAATGAATAAAATTTGTTACTGCACCGAAAAACAAAAATGATATGTCATTTTGTTCCTTAATGTATGGTCTAGAGAGACGGGTAGGTGGCCCATAGAAGTTCCCTTTGAAAAAAAATAATTTTTGATCAAAAAGTGATATGGCTGAATTGATTCCTGGATAAGTGACACAAAAAATAATTTTTCAGAAAAAATTATGTTCTTCTGTTATGTGTGAGTCATTGTGAATAGTCTTGACCACATCTCATTTATCCACGAGGTAAAATGAAAAAACAATTTTAAATTAAATTTTTTCGAGAAAATGACATTTGAAATAAGGATTGCACTTGTTTCGACCTGTTGAACTTGAATATGTAAAAATATACAGGGTGTTCCATTTGAAAAAACAAAGTTGCTGGCATTTCCAGAAATACCGGAAGTCCGCCATATTGGATTGTAATGTGATCAAATTCGAAATGATTGCTTATATAACTGTACCGAATTTCAGAAAAATCCGTTGACGAATGCAGAAGTTACAGGGGTGGCCCGATACCTTGTGTCACCCAGTATATCACATTATTTATTATGAATTCTTGGAATAATATTTGATGAAAACTGCGATTTCTATCAAAAGCACTAATGAGAACTACCCTAAAGAATTTAAAAATCTTCTTCTGACAGTTGTGACAACTATTCAGAGCTAAACACCAGCCAATTAAGTTTTGGTCGATTTTTGTTGATTTTCCATGGAAATGGATGTGGTGTTGGCAAAGTGCCGCGAGAAAAAATATTTCTCACAGTATGAGCAATACATGGTTTTGAAACTAAGTAAGCTATGAGAAATGCGCTACTTTTCATAGCAGTAGTAGAAAAATTACTATTCCACTCATCGCTAACTTACATTCAACTTTTCCAGCGGCCTTCCGAAATACAAGGTCACATAGGCTTGCAACGCGTCATTGTATTTCTGTTTCGCTTCCTTCCTCTGACTGTCCAACGCCGATATTTTCAATTGGGATAACAGCGAGTATAAGTGGTGATAGTTTTCTGCGGAATTAGAAATCAAAAATATTGTATCGGTGGGACCGAGTAGTTATCTTCTCCAAGCATTTTCATTTTCACTGTTAAAAGTCTTAGTCGGAATGGACTATAGAATATTTCGAAAATTATCGAAAATCACCGAAAATTTTATAAATAATTATCGATATCATCAATCTTATCGATATTATCGATAAACCGGTAATTTTTTATCTGAATTATTATCGATATTATCGATAATTATCGGTATAGCGATAAATTTGCCCACCCCTAGTGGACATCATGCGTTTTGATGAGATGCTGCTTATATTTTCAGTGTTTAAACAGTTCATTTCAATTTTTATACGAGGTTTATAAATTGGTGGCACAGTATGGAGTTCCCGATAATTATGAAAGATACATTTTTATTTTTTTCCTGAGCTTATTCGGAGATATTGTAAACTTTTTTTTTTGCAATTGCATTACCTCGTTGGTCCCAGCACTGGGACCAAACGCCCCATAAGTCGAAACTTGTGCGGGGTTAGGTAAGCATACAAACAGAAACATCCATGGCCTAACTAGGATTCGAACCTATGTCTCGGTGGGTAGCGCCTTCCCGCTCTCGACCACCGAGCCGCCTAACTAAATGTCACATGTGCATTTTCAGTTCATGTTTTTTGGTACTGAAACAACCTATAAAAAAAAATCAGTTGGAAAAACCACATTGGAAGGTATGGAGATACTTGCGCATCTTTGTCCCATGAATTATTTTTCCAAACTGTTTTGATTTGAAATCTGATATTAGTTCGGGAAGGCTAAAAATTACAACAAAAAACCTGATAATTTGATAATTAGTAGAAATTTGAAAATATTCAAAGAACTATCGAAAAAAAATTCTCTCAAATGATATCAATATGTGAGAACTGTTTTCAATCACTGAAAATATAATACTTTGGCATTACGAAACTTCATTTGAAACCAATATACCGGGTGGCTACGGAAGTATTGCCTACGGAATACCTCAGTTATTGTATGAAGTAGGTTTGTGAAATTTGGAGCGCCGATAAAATGACATAAGAGCTAGAATTTGAGCATATTGACATGTCGAAGTTGACTTCCGGTCTGACCGGAAGTAACATAACTTTTCTTATTTTAAATAGAAACCCTATTTTTTTTTATTTTCGCTTTATTCAGCATTCAATTCCCTTTCTAATGACATATCACAAGTTGGTATCTAACCAGAAACTAGATCAGAAAAAAAATATTATTGAAATTCACCGAGTAGGCCGTGGAAGCAAAATGAAAGCCACTAATTGAAAAGTTGGCTATAGAAACCATACGTCACTTGATAACAGTTGCTACTACTGTGATATTTTATTATCATTCGTCGGTTATAAAAAGCCGACAATAAAAATATTGGAAAAATTGGGAAAAAAACAATACTCTGTAGGTCCATAACCTAAATAGGAACATTAAACTTTTTCTTGCCTGTACTATTCAGCATAACCATTCCTTTCTAATGATATACACGAAAGTCATTTTTTGAAATGAAATACCAAAAAATCCAATTATTATTCTTCAAATAACAAAAAAACAGATTTATCGAAAAAAAACAATTCAAACTGATAGGATGAAAGATAAAATAAATTCAAAAATGACTTTCTATTATATCATTAGAAAGGAATGGGTATGCTGAATAGTACAATGATACAGGCAAGAAAAAGTTGTATGTTTCTATTTAAGTTATGGACCTACAGAGTATTGTTTTTTTCCCAATTTTTCCAATATTTTTTTTGGCGGCTTTTTATAACGCCCACGAATGAAAATAAAATATCACAGTAGTAGCAACTGTTATCAAGTGACGTATGGTTTCCATAGCCAACTTTTCAATTTTTGGCTTTCATTTTGCTTTCACGGCCTACTCGGTGAATTTCAATAATAATTTTTTTCTGATCTAGTTTCTGGTTAGATACCAACTTGTGATGTCATTAGAAAGGGAATTGAATGCTGAATAAAGCGAAAAAAAAAAATAGAGTTTCCATTTGAAATAAGAAAGTTGATGATACTTCCGGTCAGACCGGAAGTTAACTTCGACATGTCAATATGCTCTTATGTCATTATATCGACGCTCCAAATTTCACAAACCTACTTCATACAATAACTGAGATATTCCGTAGGCAATACTTCCGTGGCCACCCGGTATAATTATATAGGGTGATTCATGAGGAGAATGGAGAATAGGGGAATGGGAAATTGAGACGAGTTGATGTATATACATATAAGAAACATTTTTTTGGCCATGCATAACTCCAGATCCGAACTGGAGAAAAATTAATGTTTTATTATAATATCGAAAAATTTAACTTTGTGACAACTTTTCTCACATTCAGAATCAGACAAAAAATGCCATAAGAACTACTCTTCACTTTGCACGGCCCACTTTGACCGGTTCAAGGAAAAAATATGAAACAAAAACGTTGGAATGAATTTTCAATTTCGACATGGCTGGTAACTCCTAAATTTCATCTGGATTCATGTAAATTGATTTTTTTAAACATTTTCGTTGGATAGAAATCAACAGAAAAGAGTAGTTGAAAAAAAAACACACCGGTTTTTTCGATAATTTGAAATCTACGTTAACCCTTACGGAAAATGTTTATGCTTGTTCCTCCATCAGCTGTTCAATAGCCGAAAATTTTACGTCATATGATGTCACTGACAGTGCTCCATTTCTTCACGCTTACCCATTTTGATGACTTGCGAGGGAGTCTTCTGGTCGACGGAATGTATCGAGATGTACTCCAACATGGTGTCCACCAGTCTGGTGTACCATTTTTCCAGATCCGCTCTCCTGTCACTCTTCAGAAGACAGTCGACGTTGTGCGAGAACACCTCCAAGTTTGACACGTATGGTAAGATGCCGCATTTGGATTTTCTCGCTATCAAATGGAAATAAATTGAAAGTAAAAAAAATGTTTAATAAAAAGCATTTTTTAAAACGCTCCAAAAAGAATGAAATAAAATGTTCCTTTATTATTTCAACTATCAACTCATAACCTCATTAAACACAATTTATATGATCATAAAAGCTTGTCGCGATGATCAATATTTACTAGAATTGAAATTTGAGAAATTGTAACCCAGCAGATTTTACAAAATTAAATTATTACTCAGTTTATTCACACAAGTAAATCGCGCGACAAGCTTTTATAATCATATGAATTGTGTATAATGAGTTGAAATTATAGAGGAACATTTTATTTTATTCTTCTCAGAGCGTTCAAATAAAAGCTTTTTATTGATTTTTTTTTATTTTTGAATCATTTTTTAATTTTCAGTTATCGCTGGCTAGGTTTCTCAGTCTGTTTATGTCATTCAACGCATCATTGTTGGAAGGTCGTTTGCCGTTTAATAAGGAGACCTTTTAATGAATTTACACATTATTTTCTATTCCGCCATCTTGGATAGTCCGCCATATTGGATTTAGAATGACGTCACATTATTTTTCGAGTTACTCTCAACAAGCCCTTTGATTTGCTACCCATATTGTAGATTTGCATTAAAAATAACTATTACGTCGTCCTGGATGGTCTGTCATATTGGATTCATGATGACATCACATTATTTTTCGAGTTACTCTCAACAAGTCCTTTCATTTGATACCCATATTGTGGAAGTGCATTAAAAATAACTATTTCGTCATCTTGGATGGTCCGCCATATTGGATTCAGAATGACGTCACATTATTTTTCGAGTTACTCTCAACGAGTCCTTTCATTTGCTATCCATATTGTTGATGTGCGTGCATTAAAAATAACTATTGACATCATATCATTTTTTGAGTTACTCTCAACAAGTCTTTTCATTTGATACCCAAATTGTGGAAGTGCAATGAAAATAACTATTTCGCCATATTGAATCTAGAATGACGTCACATTATTTTTCGAGTTTCTCCTAACGAACCCATCCATTTGATACTCATATTGTAGAAGTGCATTAAAAATAACTATTCCGCCATCTTGACTGGTCCGCCATTTTGGATTTAGAATAAGTTCACACACCTTATCGTGCATTGTCATCCAAGCTAAAAGTGTATACACAATCTCAGCTCAATCAGTTGAAGATATCTACTTCAAAATTGAGTTCAAAGATTCCACTCGAACTAACATACATACATCCATACATTGCAAGTTAAATAATAGTATATTATTCAACGAGCACATAATGATGGCTATTACCCACGAAGATGAAAGTTGCAGTACGAGCCGAAGGCGAGTGCTGTGATCATCTGAGTGGGTAATAGTCATTATGCGCAAGTAGAATACTATACTTTATCTACAACTATTCAAATATCAAAGCAACTCTGAGAGTTCAGAAATATATCTATGAAAAAAATGAAGGTTATTATATTGCAAAATCACCAAATCTGATTTTAAATACTCATTAATTCCATCGAAAATTTATTGACAAAGATTCCATTCAACGAACAGCTTATAACTTATTTCAATAATTTTGATTGTGGAGATTTGATAAACAATGTTGGATATAACTTTTATTAGCAGGAAAAAAGTCGTGCAATCACATATCAGTCAATCTTACCAGGTATTATATTATGATATTTCACTTTTCAGTTGTAAAATGAATCATATAGGTACTATTGCAGATTATTCATTTTTTGCTTCCGCTGTAGCGTTCCCCCACTGCGATGATTGATTGTAGTACCCTGTCTCTAGAAGCTAGTTATCAACAATGAAATTCCATGGTTCTGATTGGTCTGTACTAATCTATTCCAATAGCATGTAGCCATATTAGTGTTAGTGTGTGCCTTAGATCATACAGGATCTAAGGTGTGAGCAAATCTGCAAGTGTCAAGTCCTATTTTATGGTTATGGTTACTCATTATGGTTACTCATGATGATAGTCACTGTTGAGGATGGAAAACAGTGAATTCTTATTTTTCCGTGTATTTGTAGAATCAAGATGTTTAAAACTACGAGAACAATGATACGGTGGATTTGCGAACTAATAGAACGAATACCTACCTAGTTGAATTTGACAAGACGATGGGATGTCAAATTATTACGCCACCCTACTGTCATTATTATTCTTATTACTCGATTCATCACAATAATGACTGCCATTAAATGTCGAAAATCGAGTAAGCAATGTATGAATGACTCCATAGTTGTAGATAAAAGCTTTTATCTGATGGCATGTCATAATGACAACGTTATGTCACTCAATTTTGATGACATAAGGAAGCTCATTATGGGACTAAGTACCATAATGAATTCATTATGGTACTAAGTACCATAATGAAATTCTATAAGGAAAACATGTAATGGTTTGATCAAAAAAGTTTATTCAAAATGCATAACTATGTACAAAACTATTTATTATAAATGGTAAAAGAACAATTACTACAATTTGTAATATTAATATAATGGCAAAGCACAGCTCACTCACCTACTAATATTTGAAACTACACAATACTTACTCCTTTAAAAATAGTTGTCATTGTGACATGTCGAAAATGCAGTTTTTAATTTTTCGAAAATGTATTGATATAAATGCCATCAGATAAAATTTTGTATGTAATACGAATCATAAACAATCATTATGGCACACGCCGTGTTATCGGACTCGGCTACGCCTCGCCCGATAACATTCACGACTTGTACCATAATGATCGTCTTTATGATCCTTATTACATAAATAACTATTAATAATAAAAAATCGAATATTTCACTCATCTTAAGCCTCATATATTCTGACCAATCATTAATCACAAGCTGAAAACACCTTGTATTATCGAAGGTAATACCACGAGTTCTACAAATATTATCGTGTAAAAATAGGTCAGAACGAATGAACAATATGAAACTGGCACAAGAAAAAGCCGAAACATGGTTCAGAGTAAACAACCTAAAACTAAACAAGAATACCTGATCAGTCGTAATATTATGACCCAATGTCCGCATGGTTTTCGTCCTGGCTATTCCATCGAAACAGCTTCGGCGGATTTGGTGCAGTATATTTATGATAATATTAATGAAAACAACATGGTAGTGGGAATATTCTTCGACCTCTCTCTTGTATTTGATACAATAAACCCTAAACACTTGACAATAAAACTGGAATCAATGGGCACACGAGGCCCTATACAAGACTGGATCCAATCATATATGTCTGGCAGATCACTCAGAGTACAGGTTGGCGAAAAACAGTCTGATAGCTATGACATTTTAATTGGAACACCTCAGGGTGAAGTTATAGGCCCACTACCTTTCTACTCTATATAAATGACCCTGTGTATATTACTAAAGTACGTATCTTTCTATACAGTGTGTCCCACTTACCATGCTCACCATGGGTATCTTTTAAACGGTGAGAGATACGAGGTCGGTTAAATGACACCAAATGTGTAGTTTGTCAAGACCAACTATAATGTGAAAAAAATTTTTAACAAAATCTATTCGTTTTTGTTTTATACGCAAAAAACAGATTTTGATCATTTTCATGTCTCCTCCGTAACTTCTTTATTTATGAAAATATTCAAATAGGAATTTCACATTCTCATGGCAGTTTTTCGAAGTGATTTCGAAAAAAATATGAAATTTATACCAACTCTTCTAGAATTTGAGATATCAGCACCAACTTTAGTTTTTCAAATGTAGGTCATAGCTCACTATGACTTAGTTACAAATAACTTTTTTTTCTCTTCCAGATGATATGTCGCAGTAATAGTTTTGTGTTGATAACAACGGAGTTATCGTCATTTATATCCATAATGTATTGTCACCGAAATTATGAACACCTGTCAAATTTCAAGTTAATCGGAGTTATGGAATTTTTGTTGAAATTGAAAAAAAATGGCTGCTCCAAGATGGCGGACAAGATTTGGTCCGATTCCATTCAAAATTGGTAAGTGGGGGTTTTTGAGGTCGGAGATCATGATTTTTTTGTTAAAATTTATAAATTCAAGATGGCGGCTTCCAAAAAATTTTTTGTTCTTGTATAAATGACGATAACTCCGTTGTTATCAACACAAAACTATTACTGCGACATATCATCTGTAAGAGAAAAAAAAAGTTATTTGTAACTAAGTCATAGTGAGCTATGACCTACATTTAAAAAACTGAAGTTGGTGCTGATATCTCAAATTCTAGAAGATTTGGTATAAATTTCATATTATTTTCGAAATCACTTTGAAAAACTGCCATGAGAATGTGAAATTCCTATTTGAATATTTTCATAAATGAAGAAGTTACGGAGGAGACATGAAAATGATCAAAATCTGTTTTTTGCTTATAAAACAAAAACGAATAGATTTTATCAAAATGTTTTTTCACATTATAGTTGGCCCTGACAAACTCCACATTTGGTGTCATTTAACCGACCTCGTATCTCTCACCGTTAAAAAGATACCCATGGTGAGCATGGTAAGTGGGACACACTGTATATATGCATATGACACTACAATTATCGTTGCAGCTGGAACTGTAACCGAATTAAATGAGAAAGTAAAGCTTGTTACAGAAAATTTCAAACACTGGCACAGAATGAATCATCTCATTGATAACACGAATGAAACGGTATTGATTGAATTCACTAGTCCTCTCAAACCAAGAAGCAACTCTGTATTCAATCTCTGTGGTACAAACCTTCCATCCTTTAAGTCAACGAAATATCTGGGTTTAGAATTAGATTATAAGCTAGCTTTCAAGTTGATTCCGTTTGTAAAAGACTGAATGGATTATATTTTATATTTTCTACATTAAAATCTAGTTTCCATGATAATTATCTGGTGAACATGTACTATGGTTTGGTATATCCTGTAATTAGTAGTAACATTATTGTATGGGGCAGAGCCACAGAAATCAATAGAATCTTCATCATTCATAAAAGATTCATCAAAATTCTGTTCAATTTGGACTACAGAGAGTCTTCTTGTACGGACACATTCATTCAACACGAAATCCTAACACTTACTTTCATCTAATATAGAACATTCTTCTGTCCCAGTCACGGTATTAGTAGCCAAACTCCTCTGAAACGGTTCGACCGATTCGTATGCAAATTTTTGTGCGTATTCGGTCGTAATCTATTTTTCAAATCGGGTCGGAGATTATGATTTATTCGTCTAGAATAGGAAATTCAAAATAGCGGATCCAATATGGCGAACGAGTTTTCTAGTTTTGATCCGATTCTATTCAAAATTGGTATGTGAGGGTTTTCGTGGTCGGAGATTATAATCCTTTCGTAAAAAAATTTATATTCAAGATGGCGGATCCAATATGGCGGACGACTTTTGTAATTATAGTCAGATTCTATCAAAATTGGCAACTGGGGATTTTCGAGGTCGGAGATTATGATTGTTTCGTCAATATTAGGAAATTCAAAATGGCGGATCTAATATGTATGGCGGACGAGTTTTTTAATGATCAGATCTTTTTTATTGTCAATTTCAGAGGATTTTGATTTTTCATGCTCTCTTTTTGGATATTCAACAGATATAATTCTATGTTCGAAGTGGCAAATAGCCAGGAAAGTAGTTGTTTTTTGTTGAATATTCAGAATAAATCGAGAAAGAATTAATATTTTCATCACTTGGAGAATGCGAATTCTCAATGTATATATACAGTGTGTCCACCTTAAGGACTTACCACCCCTGTAAAATTGTTATTATCTGATCGATTTCAAAAAACTTTTTTTTGTTGTATAGGTATTTGAAATGTCCATCCAACAAGAGAGTGATTTTACTCATGAACTGTAATCGTGGCCAACTGCGACCAACTTTATTGACCCATATTTGAGAAAGTACTATTAGGGATTTTTTTTTTTCACAAAAAACAATGATGGATTCTGAATCACGATTACTTGAAGAACACCTTTACTGATTTTTATCATCATAAAACACAGGGTGTTCGAAAAAACAAATTAAGTTTTTTTTTTATAGGTGATCAGAAAATGTAGTATTGTGGTATTTTTGAAAAGAATTGATGACACATTATTATTGAGGATCACTTCGAACATATCTGTACCGATTTTCACCATCCAAAAATACGATGTGTATGAGAAAACAATTAAAAAGAAAAAGTAGGCAATATTTTTTCATCAACTCAAAAAAAATATCAATTTGATTATTCGAACACCCTGTGTTTAGATGATGAGAATCGGTACAGGTATGTTCCAAGTGATCCTGATTCATCTTTTCATTTTGAGTAAAGAATTATCAGGATAAAAAATATTGCTTACCTATACTTTTTAATTTTTTTCTCAGACACATTGTATATTCAAATGACGGAAATTGGTACAGGTATATTTGAAATAATCCTCCAATGATAATTTGTGATTATTTTTTTCTAGAAAATCCACAGAACTACATTTGCTAATCACCTATTTGAAGAAAATGATGATTCGTTTTATGATGATGAAAATCGGTACAGGTATATTTCAAGTGGTACTGATTCAGAATCCATCATCAAGTTTCGTGGAAAAAAATCCCTAATAGTACTTTCTGGAATATGGGTCATTGAAATTTGTCGCAGTTGGCCACGATAACAGTCCAAGAATTAGATCACTCTCTCCTTGGATGGGCATTTCAAATACCTTTCCAACAAAAAAAGGTTTTTTGAAATTGGTCGGATAATAACGATTTTACAGGGGTGGTAAGTCCTTAAGGTGGACACACTGTACATATATATATAAGGAAGGGAAGTCTTTGCTGACCAGTTAGAAGTAAAACTAGTAGTTTAGTGGGGATGCAGCAATAGTAAATGTGTACTCATTTAAGTTTGTCCGAGCTTTCGGAAATGTGTATTTCCATCATCAGGGTAGACTAAAAAATTGGAAGTATTATAATTAATTCACAATATTGAAAAAACTTTATCACTTACACTCATTGAGAATGGTTACTCTGTTGTAAAATTTGTAAAATTGTTAAAAATAACATACTGATGAGACAAAAAAAAAGTTAAAAAAATTATTTAGTTATAAGCATGGTTAGCTAAGAGGCTACTTATTACCTCATGAATAAGTTTGAATTTTCAAATCCAACGTGGTTGAAACGATTATTAACGAATCTGAAAGATATAGGTTAGAATGATTCTTCTTCTTCTTTTCTTTTGTAAGTCAGAATTCTTACCCCTTATGGTACCTACTGGTGTTAGTAATCCTCCAAATCTCAACCCAACGTCAAATCAATCATAGCCATAGATCGAAAATGGAAATAGGGTATAAACACCCACGTCAATTTATAGCGATTCGGCACTTTTCGCAGAACAGCAGTTATTACGTACTTTTGCACCAGATAGCGGTCAAGAAGCTATCTGGGACAGCCCTGTACTGATGAGAGCCAAGAGCTCGAAACCGGTCTGCAGGTAGTCATCCGTTCCTGAACCACTTAGGCGCAGCCCGGCGTTTAGGAATGAAACACTTGCGATTTTATTCGTCTATACGAATTATTGCATACATTTCGAGAGGATGTAATCTAATGTTCTGCGTATCATATAGCCAGGAAAGTAGTTGTTTTTCTCTCGTTATCTACGATTTTCGTTCATTTGATGAACTGTTGTGGTAATTAGAGTCCCTGTATGTATAATTCCCTGTATATATTTGTCAGTTTTGTTGTAATAAGAGTACGGACACTATGACAAGCAGTGACGGAAGGCATAACCCCAAATTCTCAAAATGACTTTTGAACAAAGACATGGATATGCTTTTCCATGCACTTCGGATCTTCTATCCTCTACTGCCGCGGTGAAGGGTACATCCATATATCTTTCTCTGTCTTTATTTTCATAAAGAAGTGGCGTCTCATCTCACTGGCGAAAAGGGGTCATAGTTTGTAAATCAATTTGTTGAAAGTATTTCTCGATATACTTAACAAAGTGTATATGTACTTCAATTTATTTGATTTTAGGATGCACTAGTTTTTCAATAGATAGAGTCAGGATTTAGTAGCCGGTTCTGATGGACAGAATGTAAATGAATGGGAAGAACAATTCAACCAATTAACAAACTTATATTTGTTCTCATAACATACTAAGACACTTCATAGGGCATGAACGATCAGAAAATTTGACAAATACAAGTATAATGATTATAATTCAAGAATAGTATTACCTATGACAAAAATACAAAATTTCAAATAATGGTAGAGTAAAGTGGGGTAATATGGCAACATAAAATTTAAATGCTCACAATCTAATAACCATCGCGCCTAGCTGAAAGACGATAGCAGCACGTTAGAGCTTACACAATATATTTTTGTGTCCAGAGTCGCTCGATGCCATTTTTCCACACAGCAAAAGATTACAAGTAAATAAAGACAACAATCTCTTTCACATGTAGGAAGATTTTGGATTTTTATTTTTAGATAATGAAAAAATTCATTCAATATATCAGGCTCGAAATTAATATTTGAAATTTTCCTATTTAAAGTTCGTGGCGATGGTAATTGATATTGAAATTTGAGTAATGTTTCATAACCGGATGATCCACACATGAATTTTATGACTAAAGCTTTTTCGACACTCTCTGCATTCCATCTATTACCATTATATTTAGAATTATGAGAAATATGTTGCTCATAAACTTAGAATACCTTTTAATTTGTAATCGATTTCATTGATTCGCGTTTCAAAATACTGGAATTGACTATAATTTTGGTTGAAATATATTCCGAAACTATCAATTTGGGTCTTGAGTCGATTCAAAATATTTGTAACTTGCAGTCTTGTTTCAGAATCGCTTTGCTTCAAGCTATTTTTCAAATGTTCGTCCTTTTCTTTGATTTTTTTCTGTATCTTTCATCATCAACTATTAATAAATTTTGAATTTCGGCATATCTTCTCTCTAAATCTTCGATAATTTCTTGTTTGTGATCCAAAATACATTTAATTTCATCTTGGTATTCTACTTGAATTTTTCCTCGTAAAAATTGTCCTGAATTCGATAAGGAATGTCTTCGATAATCCTTCTGATGATGGAATGAAGGCTCCGCATTTTCTTCCAATTTGATGGTATGTTCCACTATGAAATCTTCACATTTGAAGTGCACCTATAATGTTAAAATTGAAATTATAAATGATATTATTCCATCGAATATGCATCATATTCAATCGAAAAATTCAAATATTGAGTACTTACTTCGCAAATCTTGCTACCTGAATTCAATTTCCATAGTGGCCGCTTCATATTTTCTTTCCATTTCTGTAACTGTTGTTGGTTAGAATGGGGGAAATGAAATAAATGAAAGGACTCGCTTCCATTTTTGCAATTCTCCACTACACAATTAGACATTTTAATTTTTGAAAACCTGAATTTTCAAATAATTTAATGTCATGTACGTTCATAACTATCAGTGCCCGCCAAATTGTTCATGTCATTTCAAACTTTTTAGGGTTATGCTTTCTGTCACTGCTTATCATAGTGTCCGTACTCTTATTACAGCAAAAGTGTCAAATACATACAGGGACTCTAGTGGTAATGACTTAGAGTTTCTCTCTATTTGTAAACAAATCTGTCTTCCTGATAATATTAGTATAGATATTGATGTTGATTATAGGTGGAATAGTCATTATTATCAAGATTCTCTTACCAATGCGGCACTCTCTGATCGAATCGATCTGTTGCTGAACGAACTGGTCCAGCGAGCGTTTGACCTCGATCAGCTGCGAGGCGAAGGTATTGCTCAGAAATGAGCTCTGAGCAGATCTGACGTGTTGGTTGAACCGCACCAGCACATACATGCAATAGCTACAAGATGAAAACCCAGTCAATGCCCAAAGAAGATTGCACAACTGAGCCTAAATAGCAATTAATATACAAGGTGCATGTAACATGAGTTGGTTATAGGTATGTTAAAATATATGTGAAAAATTTCATTTTATTATTTCGATGTACTAACCCTAACTAGTCCACTGTCACGAACCGTTTATTCCTCAGAGCTCTGTACATTTTTCAAATTCTTGAAATTCACGATATTTCATAACAAGAAATACGCGGGAAAACGCGTGATCATCCGTGAACAATTCAATACAACCATATAAAATTCGACTTTTTTTTATGATCTGGTTCCCACGAAAAGGGATATCCTGTAATGTTCAGAGAACATCGTGAGAACCAAAGGAAATAAGGTAGGAATTTGTGTTCTTCTTAAATTTATGGAGGTTATATGCCTCGGGGAAAACCTCCCTTGGCAATGTGTTCCAGAGCCTCGCTGTTCGTTGGATGAACGAGTCTTTGGAAAGAGATGTTCTGCAGGTCTCCAAAGTGACCACGAAGGGGTGCGAAGCCTCAACTCGACGGGTTAACCTCGCGGGGACTGCCAAGGGAGGAACAATTGTTGATATTTCAGAAGAGCATCGTCCATGAAAATATCTATAAAATAGAGCCAGATCGCCAACTTTTCTGCGGTGTTCCAAAGAAGTGGGTGAGTTTGTGAGCGAGGCATCACCCACGAGACGAATTGCCCTTTTTTGGACAGAATCCAACAGTTTCAGGGTATGTGCGCTGCACTCCAAATATGGGCACAGTATTCCAGGACAGGTCGGATCTGTGCCTTATAGATCATAAGCAGCTGACTGGAAGTGAAATAGGTCTTGGCCCGAAACAGAAAACCAAGTTTTTGGGATGCACTTTTAGCAATTGATCTCACGTAATTTTCCCAAAAACGTTTATTGCTGATAGTAATACCAAGCATCGAAATGGATGTCTTCAAAGGAATGGTTACTCCTGAAAAGCTTATGTTGGGCATAGTGAGATCGGCTTTTCTAGAGAAAAGGCATGCTTGTGTTTTGTTTGCATTGAATTCTACCAAGTTATTGGATCCCTATTCGAGAATTGTTGCCAAGTCCATATGTTGTCAACATTTCTTCCTCGTTCGTTCCTGATTTGCCTAGCTGGTATTGGAGCCCTGGAAGAGAAGGCGGTATGTAGGGTACTATCATCCGCGAAGCTGTGTACTGGACATGAAGTTGCTTCCAACAAATCGTTGATATGGAGTAGAAATAGTGTTGGTGCTAGAATTGATCCTTGCGGAACACCAGAATTTATAATGAGAGAGTCAGATGAAACTCCGTCGACCACTACATGAAGAGATCTGTTTGAGAGAAAACTAGGTAGCAGAGAACATAGCTGGGGAGGCAAGCCATAAGATGGAAGCTTGGATGGGAGTCCGTGGTGCCAGACTCGATCGAATGCCTTGGAGGTATCAAGTGCTACGGCTAAGGTTTCACCATATTTTTAAATAGAATGCTGCCATATATGTGAGGTCACCAGTTGATCTCTGATGACGGAAGCGATATTGCCTATCGTTGATAATACCTGAATGTATTAATAAAGTATTTTCGATGATTTTAAATAACGAATGATAGCATCAAATACTATTTTTTTACTCACATAACTAAAATGGCATTTAGCATACGGATAATTATGAACCAAGCTGAATGCCCGATCACGGATGTAGGTTATTGAAAAAATTAAACACGTTACTATGGCAACACAATTTCATGAACACATTACCAAGGCAACACAGTTTTTCAAACACCTTCAGTCGTTTGAGTCCCGTCCGGCCTGTCAATTGTAGGAACTGTCAACTGTCATTTTCGAATCTTGTTGCAATCGGTGACAATCAGAATTATTCAAACGATTTCTGTTTGTATCAGAGTTCTTCATTAAAAATTTATGAGAAATGTAGACGAAAGGGATATGGAAGAGAATTAATGTTTTAGATACTTGCATATTTCCAAGAACTCTATGCAAAAATTAAGCTATCATCTTTGTGGGCAATTCATTCATGACAATAAACGTAAAACACAATATTTATGGAACATTTTTTATATGAAAAATTCATAGCCTACTATTAGAATTCAATGTTTTAGCTATTTTTGAGCATGTTTGAAAATGTTATATTTATACACTATACAGGGTGTTTAAAAAAACCTAACCCCCTTGCTAGGGTAGGTAGAACATTGCAAAATAAGTTGGGTTTGCTCAGTAAAAAATATCGTAACGCCGTTCCTTTTTCAAGATACAAGGTGTTGAAAAAATATTTTTTTCAACATTTTTTACGATTATGTTGAAACTACTGGCAACATTGTAGTGGACTTGAACATCATTCAATTTTACACTAAAAAGGTGCTCTTGGTGAAACTTGATACTTGGTACCGTTTTCGGGATATTTTCGATTTGAAAATGCTGAAGTATAACACTGATGCTAGTTGAAAGTAAGTATTATAAAAGACTGTTACCTATTTATTGATAACCACGTCAAGAGCTGCAAGAAAGAATTGAACATCACTTCGATGATCTCATAGCTGATCTTCAACCGTTGAGGAGATTGATGCATTCTTTAAAAAAAAAGGATCGAATTGTATATTCGTGAAAACGGAGGACATTTTGAACACTTACTCTATAACTAGATGATGATTTTAGTCATATTTGATTAAATATTTTCTGATGTGATCTTGTTTAATCGATATCTTCAGCAGTAAAATAATGTTAATGTTTTTTGTCCCAATAGATAATTGTTTTTTTTTAATACTTTTCCTAATACCAGAATCAGAGTTATTGCTTCAGCATTCTCAAATCGAAATATTTCGAAAACGGTACACAGTATCGAGTTTTACCAGGAGCATCATGTTGGTGAAAAATTGAATGGTGTTCAAGTTCACATTGAATTTGGACTGAAAAATCTAACCTCAAAAGAGTTATGTTCAAAAGTAATCGGTACGACAGTGTAACTAGCGCCCTCTATGAGTGTCAGATATAAAAAGAAATTCATGCGGTGTGTCAGCTTTCAGAACACATCCATACAAAATTTCATCACAATGTTGCCAGTAGTTTCGACATAATCGCGGAAAATGTGTAGAAAAAATATTTTGTCAACACCTTGTATCTTGAAAACGGATGCCGTTACGATATTTTTTCACTGAGCAAACCCAACTTATTTTGCAATGTTCTACCTACCCTAGCAAGGCGGTTAGGTTTTTTGAAATACCCTGTATATCATTTTGAAGGGAAAAAATAAGGAACTCAATGAGCTTGAAAAATACAGGGGATTCCATCTGAAAAATTATGAGTTAAAGTTGTATCTGCAAAGCCATACCTCGAAAAATAATTTTGAGTGCGCCACTGGATTTTGCGGGGATTCAAAAAGCATAAATTTTCGAAATCACCCTGTACCTCATAAACGGAAACAGTTATGCAAGATATGATCAGGCCATCTTGAGTTTCACGAAAAACTGGCACAGGACCGCGAAAATCGCAAGGTTCTATATTCAAAGATAACTGAGATATCACGCAAAAGCATCGAAAACTGGACACACTGTACTCACAAGCTGTCCTGTTTTTTGATGTGGTCTATCAAGAGATCCAATTCGGTCTTCAAGCAGGCGAATAAGGTGCTCATCATACTTCGGACGTCCTCTTCGATTTGCTTCTCGGCCTTCTTGATAGGCACCGCTGCAGCGTCCCATTCCCCGTCCAGGGTGGTCAGAGTGTTTTTCGTCGAAGGATTTATAACATCGAGCTGGAAAAACAGGAAAAAAATTCCAAGTAGATGACCCCACTTGGTCATAGAGTGCATTTTTGGTATATCTCTCGCTCCAGCAAATTTCAGGATCCTTACCGAACGATTACGAAAGATACAGGGGTGATTCCATTAGAAGTGGGTCACACTGTACATATATACAGGGTGGGCCACCAGTAACGCCTCGGTCTCTAGAAGGCTAACCACTTATCTTCTTGGAATTCTTCCTCTCTAGGAAGTTGCATGTCAACATAGGCTACCATTTGAAATTATTTCAAAACATACAGGGTGTCCCCAAAAACCATAAAACACTGAAGTTAAACTTTTTTCTATCGAACACCCTATATATTATTTCATTTTGAGATTCTCCCTGATGAGCTGATTTCAACGACCCATCATACTTGGGGTCTAGCAGTTATAATTACTGAAATATAGGGTGTGAAAAATCGAGATTTTCCAAGTTCAAGAATTGTTTGTGTCGAAACTATTCATAATTGGTCAATACGGCTTACATGTCCCTATCTCAACTTATGATTAACTATCTACTGATATTTAATTGGGACATATACCGGGTGATCAAGATTCTGAATTCTGCACCACCCTGTATTTGTTTCAATTAAATGTCAGTAGATAGTTGATCAAAAGTTGAGATAGGGACATGTGAGCCGTTTTGACCAATTATGAATGGTTTAGACACAAAAAATTCTTGAACTTGGAAAATCTCGATTTCTCACACCCTATATCTCAGTAATTATAACTGCTAGACCCCAAGTATGATGGATTGTTGAAATCAGCTCACCAGGGAGAATCTCAAAATGAAATAATATATACGGTGTTCGATTGAAAAAAGTTCAACTTCAGTGTTTTGTGATTTTTGGGGACATCCTGTATGTTTCAAAATAATTTTAAATGGTAGCCTATGTTGACATGCAACTTCCTAGAGAGGAAGAATTCCAAGAAGATAAGTGGTTAGCCTTCTAGAGACCGAGGCGTTACTGGTGGCCCACCCTGTATATACAAAGTGTTAGTGAATAAGTGCGACAAACTTCATATTTTAGGAAATAAAGTTCATATAAACATGTGTCCTAACTTCCTTCGTTCTTGATATACAGGATGTTGAAGTTGAAAGTATTAATTGTTTTTATTTATAACGCCCCTATATAAGCTTCCATAGTACCAAAATATAGTATGGTTGCAGACTGAAAAAGTCCTGAAATTTCAAAATGATTATTATTGAGGTTATTGAGTAATCTCAATGAATGTTTCGAGAGCACTTACATTCAAATTTGAAGTCAAATCGATTTTTTATTGTTTCCCCAAATACTGAGCTAGATACAGAAACACGGAGAATGAGAAAGTTGATATTTCAATTGCTCAATCTGATAATAATATGGAAGTCAGAAAAGCGAGTGGCGTACAATGATATTAACCGTAAATATCGATAAATTAGCCAACTGTGACGCCACTGAAAATATTTGTTCGAATTTAATGTTGCATTCAAGAAAACCACCAAGTTTAATTTAAGTTGGTGAAAAGACATTTGAGTAATGATTAAAAGAACGATTTTTCATGGAAATATTAATACCCTGTATCTTGAAAACGAAGCAAGTTAATATAAACTTTATATTTTAAAATATCACAAGGAATCAGACCCCGAAGTATGTCACACTTATTCACTAACATCCTGTATACAAGGTGTTTTTGAAATAATTGCACATATTCAGCACATTAATATGATATAGTCTAAGGTATATTTCCATGATATCAGATTTTTTCTAATTCTTCTAATTAACGAGAAATTTCATCCCAAAAACTGAACAAAATACGAAAAAATAATCATGTACGCCACTTAAAAACAATTTAATTGATTGAACTAGCGTTATTATGCCTACTGCATGGAAATTTGAACAGAGGTCAATAAAATTTTTTTATCAGTGCCATTCGATAGTACACGTCGAGCTGTTTGAAATATTTGCACTTATTTCAATGCCACACTGTATGTGAATACCTAAACTTGAAAGTACTTTACTGGAAGAGATTTGAAACTGAATGTCATAAATATCTTCACAGTAATTCATTTGAAATTTCACTTACAATTTTGAATAATCCACCAACAGAAATCAACCATCTAACTAATTGTGCAGTACTATTTTTCAGTACCACCAATTTTCAGGTAGGTAGGTATTATTGAGTTATCTAACAGCAACTGTATCATTGTGCTAAAATGAAAAAATCGAGAAATTAATATCCGACTAATCATAGCATAATTTTCCATACGATGAATTGCGGGAAAAATGTAAAAAAAATTATTTGAAGGTATTCCAGAGCCACCTGATTTCGAGATATGTTTTTCTAGAAATGACTGCATCTTTTCTCGATAAATAAATATGCGGGCTATCCGATGGATTTCACCTACTTGGAAAAACTTGAAGCAAAACTGTTGTTCTTGCAGAAACACGGGTTCCAATTGCGTGAGTACCTCTTCGAGTACCGAATCGTACCGCTCGCGGTCCTTGGTACTCGTTTCGTAGGTCCATTGGTCTCTGTCCAGCCCGATGAGCGTAACTGGCGACGTAACATTGCTATAAGCTGAAATGAATCAGGATTTGACTTCAGCTCAAATCTGATATTTTTCCCGTGTCTAATACACTATTTTTATCTGTGACAGGAAAAACGACCATCCGATATTGAGAATATATTAAATACATTATAGTATATCTGGAAGGAGGTGGTAGGTTACGTGTTCTCGAACATATTTAACGGTATAAACTATTGTTCTTGTTCCTTATTACCCCAGGAAACATCTTTGTTTATAATAGGGATATATAAACATATGATATACAGGGTGTAACTAAATAAGTGTAAAACTTTCAAGGGGGTGATTCCTCATCGAAAGAAAGATAGGATCTTTCATATAAAGAAACTTCATTGGAGCATCCCATGTTGAGATAGAAGGGGGTACATAAAATTCATTCATCAATTTTTTTCACAAGCACTAAGAAAATCAACCTGACATTTTCTACTACCAAAAAGACACTTAGCCAGTAATTCATTTGGTTTACACCGTGGTTGTAAGGGGTGGAAAACGCAATCCCTAAATTTTATTTCCAATGTAACTTTTTGTCTTATTATTTGTTTACCATTTGAAAATTTATTTCCAATAGCCTGTTTCATTCTAAACAAGAAATGTCCACTGAATTTTTCGCCCAAAAACCAGTTCGCAGCAAAAAATTATTTTACGAACAACTACAGAGACACATCGTCATATTGGATTTATTGTTATTTCGTAAGCCCTCAAGCTATTGTCGAAACTGATCATCAAGAACAGTTTTCTCTTAACGTGTGGGTCGGAGTTGTTGGGGATTATTTAATTGGGCCTCATTTTCTACCTCCTCGATTAAATAGTGAAATATACGTTCCCCTATAATCATTTAATGCAGGTAATGACTACAAAATAATTCTCAAGTCAATTTTTATATCATCAATTATATCATTGAACTCTTTAGAGGAATAGTTTATTGTAGTATCATCTGCAAATAACTTTAGAGATCTTCTTTCAGTTTCAAAGATGATATTGACTTGATGAGAGAGAGAGAGAGAGAGAGAGAATAATCTTTATTCTAAAATGTATTACATGTCGTCGACAAAGGTATAACATATATATAAAAAACGAACTATTGTAAAAGAAACAAGACTAAACAATATTTACATAAAGGGTATAATACGTTACGGTACAAACGTGTTTTCACAACTACAGTTTATCAAAATCTTGATGTAGATAGTAACATTTATATAAAAAACTAAAAATTATATGCAAAATACTCTTCCAAACTATAAAAGCACTTTCCCATCACAAGGTTTTTTACCGATTTCCTAAATTGCTTCTGATCATTGATTGCTGTTATTTGTTTCGGTAAATGATTATATATCTGTCTACTTCTATAGATTTGAGAATGCTTGGTCAAAGTTGATGTGGGGAGTGGAAGGAGAAGTATCATCTCCTTTCGTGTATGCCTTACTGCTCGATTCAAGAACTTTTCTTTATGTTTGTGAAGCAAGCAAACAGTCTCTATAATACAAATTTCGAATATTGTTAGTATTTTATATTTGCAGAAAATTGGCCTACACGAGTCGCGAATCCTCTTTTTGAATATTATTCTCATAGCCCTTTTTTGAATGGCGAATATACTTTGCAATAAAACCTGGCAGGCAGAGCCCCAAAATGGAATTCCATACCTAAGATGACTCTCCATGAGTGAATAGTATGCGGTCATTGAAGCTGAAAATCCGAGTTCACGAGATATGACATTCACGGCAAAGCAACCAGAAGACAATTTCTTTTTCAGTGCATTAATTTGTGTGTCAAACTTTAAATTACTATCAATAAATATACCGAGGAATTTCGTTACAAGCTTACTTTCAACCGTCTGACAACCTAAAGTTACCTGATCCAAATCCCACTTAAATGTGACCAGATTTGTTTTAGAAAGATTCAGCGACAACATATTCGATTGCCACCAATTTTTTATTTTTTCTAAATCAGAGTGTATAGTTCGAGTCAAAGTGGCCGGATCTCCATTAAGCCAAAATACCGTGGAATCATCCACAAATAAGGTGAATGTTCCAGATATATCCAATTTAGCCAGATCGTTAACATACAGCAAGAATAAAATTGGGCCCAAGACTGACCCTTGAGGAACTCCGTTTACTATTTTTCCACTTTCGGAAGTATTATTGTTCAAAGATATTTTTGGCTTCTACCAGTGAGATAAGATCTGAACCATTCTAATGTTGTTCCCCGAAATCCATAATGAAAAAGTTTCTGCAGGAGGATCTCATGACACACACAATCAAACGCCTTAGAAAAGTCCAGAAATACTGCCGCAGCCACTTCCTTGTCGTTTAGAGTTGTGTAAATGTTTTCAAGTAAATTAAAAATGGCATCAGTCGTATTTTTATCATATTGGAAACCAAATTGTACGGGAGTTAAAATCTTGTGCTTTTCCAAAAAGCCCACCATCCTGCGTTTGACTAGTTTTTCGATGATTTTTGTAATTGTAAATTAAAAATAAAATTAGACCTGAAACGGAACCTTGTGGTACACCACATTTGGTCTTCCTTATTGAGCTACAAATATTATTGACTTTAACATACTGCTTTCTATTTTCCAGATAATTTCTCCACCAATCAAATATTTTTTCTCTGATACCTAAAAAAATTGTTCTATCAATCATTCGGTTGCACCCTCAGAAGTCTTCGAGAGTCTTGTGCGAGCAAGGAATGACGGGGGCCTTACCTTTTAACGTGTGATCCCAAACACTTTCTTGGGCCATCAGAAAAATTTCTGCAGTCAGTGTTACACTTTTCGAGATATCATCGTTCATAAATTCTAAGTTGGATGCTACAAAAAATTGTTTTTCATATTTTCACAAGCCAAAACAATTTTAACCACATTTAGAACCCATTACTTTTCATGAAAAAAGAGAAACAATCAGATAAAATGTTTGAAAAAACACTTTGTATAATAGTATATATGGTAAAATGTGTTTGAAATATTCTCATCTATCACCCCCTTCCAGATATACGTCAAAAAACCAAACACCTTGTATAATAAAATCAGAAATTCATCGATGTGGAATTCGGACTTTGAACTGGTAGGTCACCTGTGTGCAGGCATCTTTTTGTAGGCATCTTTATTGTTGCTATGGAAACCTTTTGAAGTAATCGAATATCTGTCAATTAAATTCAGGTGTTTTGATTTTAAAAAATTGCGAACTTAGTGGTTGTTTAGTAATTCACGAAACCGCGAAGTGAAATGAAAGATAAAAAGGACTTGCAGTTCTAAAATAATTTCATGAAAAGTGACATTTTGTGACCTGTCCACAGAGATGAAATGTCAAACTTTTTTCCCGTCCTAGAAAAAATAGTGTTTCAGCTCACAGACATACAGAACTAAATCTAAACACTACCGTACGATTATTACCTACCTGCAATTTTTTCTCTGGCAGCGTTGAACAACCCTCTTAGATCTCTATCGTACAATTTTCCAAGTGCAGTCGTGTATACCTCCTTCAAAGACTCGTACATCCTTTTATCCATGACCTGAAAGTGATTAATACGGCTTTTATCTGTACATAAACCTGCATTATGGTAATATCCGATCTAGAAATAATATTTCAATACCATCTCATAGAATTGCACTTTTCGAAAGAAGCTTCTCTTATATAGCGGCCAAAATATGCAATAATTTACCAAGCTTTCACAATACCAACAAGCTTGCAGTTCGCATGTCAATCAAAAAATTAATACTACATGGATCTTTCACGCAACCATTTTGAATCCAATATAATCCTCTCCTGATGCATACCGTCTCTTTTTTTCTTGTCTTTATAATTTTCCGCACCTGTCTTTCCTTTCTTTTCTGTACCCCTGTTACTCATTCTTTTGTTCTCTCTTTTCTACTATCATCAGTGTCAATATTCACAATATGATTAATTCAAAATTTCATTATATTTACTCATTTTGAATTTATATTGTTTTTTTCATTTCCTACACTTTATTTGCACATAAGTATTTGATTTTTTCCAATTCATTGTATTTTGGGGGATACTCGTTTTGCACCCGTTTGGTGGTAGAGCAGGACTCCTCCTTGGGGAAGTACCTGAATTTCGCCTGGGACATGATAAATGGTTTATTTACTATGTTGCAAATTTTCTTGTCCAATAAATGCATTATTATTCATTATTTAATTTCGATATCAATTGGCATCTGCCATCTAGCAGGTAATTGACATTACGAAATCAGTGGCGTTAAAATAAAAAAAGTAGACTTTCCAAATATTTCTGACGCTATGGCCAAAAGAAAATGAAAATGTTTTCTGTGGCATCAAAATTTCTTCAATATTATATTCGTATGCGAAACAACATTTTACCTCACTTGGAGGGCGCAACCTATTTTATTTCTAGAGGAAAGATGTCGGAAATCCGAGATTTCTTCAATACCATCCAGAATAAAATGAAAATTGAAACTTCAGAGGCGTTCCTATTGTTTTCTGAGTGATCTAAATGAGAAAATTTCTTTCCGACACCATCCACAAGGAAATTGAAGAGAGGCGTACCAAATTTTCTTCCCGAGGGGTCAAACTTGCAAAGGACCTCAATTTTGCAATTTCTTCGACACCAGCCGAAAAACAGAATTTGCGAGTTCAGCGGCGTACTCTACTCTCTTCTTAGGGGATCGGAAATTTAAAAAATGGCAATTTTGAAATTTCTTCGATATGAAACCAAAATCCAAACTTCAAACTGAAAAGTCAAAAATAATATATTTTTTTTCCTAAGTGGTCGAAAAAAATTAAAGACACTATTGCCCAGGGTTATTATATATCTATACCTACCAACCGAGGAATATATTAGTCCTCTTCGATTGTGTTTACTTAATTTGCTGAACTCGTTTTTTTTTTCATGACCTTATCGGTTCACATTTTGCGATGAAAATATATAACAACAGGAAAACACAAATGAACCGACCTATTACATTATTTGAATTGATTCCAGATGCCAGCACGAAAAATAAACGCAATTTTGAAGAAGATAACAGATATGGACTGGAATACCGGATATTGAATATCAAACTTCAGATTGTCGATAGAAAAGAGTTCAGAAAATTATAACGGTTACACTTTCAGACCTGTTGCAGGTCAAATTCAAGTACGATATTTTGCTTCATAGATCTAATAGGATATAATATAGTAAGTATAGTGAGCTTGGACCATCAGACAGAAATATGTGTTTTAATTTCAACTACTGTAGCAATCGGTAAAAATACAGCATCATACACAAATCATTATAAATATTACAATGCATTCATTTTCAAAATGTGAGAAAATATCATAATTTTTTGATGGCGGCTGTCAGCATTCTGGGCAAAAGAACATTTCTATTATTAAATTTTACCGTTTTATTCTGAAGTATTTTCTTCCTTTCGTTTTGGAAACTATCTGTATCAAGATGAACAAATTAGATTGTAGATTCGGATTTTGGGTTCAATTCTCTGGCTGCTGATAAAAACTCATCCACTGATTTCTGAAATCTATATTTTCAGAAAATGAGATAAAACAGATAACCTTTCTTGCACTCATATAGTCAACATCTCTTCACGGTCTTCACACTACATTTCGTGGGTACCAGTCATTTTTGAAAAACATGAAGTGGTATAGGTACGCTATACGGCTTATTTACCATCAACCCATCAACCCATAAAATGGCAAATTCTATTGGCAGGAACTGGTGGAGGTAAGGTTTTGACGGTTTTGTAACAATCTACATACTTCACTTCTAATTCTAAAAGTTCATATTCCTTGCACCAAGAGAAATATTTTATTTTACTATCTAAAATGAGGTCGTATCATCGAGTCGAAACTAATGAGAGATATCCTAGATAGACTGATGAAAAAGTAATAAACCAGATGAGATTCATTCTACATTTCATTAGAAATTGCATCATTTGTATTCCTTCATATGCATAATTGACAATGGAGATCATTCATTTCATAAAAATCAGTTGAAATAATTAAATTAATCTTTCGTAGAAGTCCATATGGTTTCTCAAAGTGGAATCAAGTATTGAATACTGAATGAGTCGATCACCTCCACGACATATAATTTGATTCACAAATCAATTGAAATTGGTACATGTTTCGGGACATATTGTATATGTCCATCATTAGCCTTAACATCAGAAATTATATCAATGTCCTAAAATTAAAGTAAGTGATTAGTCGTTACCATCGAGACAATAAGGCCTGCATGCTCCGTGGTGACGTCACCTTAGTGAGGCCTAACCAGCGGATCGAAACGACAAGGGCTTATGGCGCTATAAGGCGACCGCGTATTTCAATTTTAGTTTTAGATCATTATTGAGCAAATTTTGCTGTTTTTTGAAGGGCTCCCGGTTAAAAAAGGATGCCAGTCGTCAACTAAGCCCTTCCAATATATTACCCCTTTCAATGTTCAACCACTTGTCAGGTATCACCACTTTCGATGTATTACCACTTTCAATGTATTACCACTTTTGAATGAATTACCACTTGTGTGTAATAAATCATGATATTACACAATCTCTGTCAAATATGCTCAAGTTTAACCCTTGTAATAAGAATTGTAATTTTTTTTAATGTTCTGGTTCCCATGAAAAGGGATATCCTGTAATGTTCAGAGAACATCGTGAGAACAAAGAGAAATAGGGTTGGTATTGGTGTTCTTTTTAAATTTCTGGAGGTTGTATGCCTCGGGGAACACCTCCCTTGGCAATGTGTTCCAGAGCCTCGCTGTTCGTTGGATGAACGAGCCTTTGGAGAGAGATGTTATGCAGGTCTCCAAAGTGACCACGAAGGGTTGCGAAGCCTCAACTCGACGGGTTAATCTCGCGGGGACTGCCCAAGGGAGGAACAATCGTTGATATTTCAGAAGAGCATCGTCCATGAAAATATCTATAAAATAGAGCCAGATTACCAACTTTTCTACGGTGTTCCAGAGAAGTGAGTGAGTTTGTGAGCGAGGCATCACCCACGAGACGAATTGTCCATTTTTGGACAGAATCCAACAGTTTCAGGGTATGTTTGGGTGCTTCACTCCAAATATGGGAGCAGTATTCCAGGACAGGTAGGAACTGTGCCTTATAGATCATTAGTAGCTGACTGAAAGTGAAATACCTCCTGGCTCGAAACAGAAAACCAAGTGTTTGGGATGCACTTTTAGCAATGGATCTCACGTTATTTTCCCAGGAAAGGTTATTGCTGATAGTAATACCAAGCATCGAAATGGATGTCTTCAAAGGTATGATTCTCCTGACAAGCTTATGTTGGGCACAGTGAGATCGGCTTTCCTAGAGAAAAGGCATGCTTGTGTTTTGTTTGCATTGAAATCTACCAAGTTATTGGATCCCCATTCGAGAATTGTTGCCAAGTCCTTATTTATGTTGTCAATAAATTATCTATCTATCTACCCTCTAAGTATTAATATTTAATAACCCTGCTGTTGCGTTAACACGTTTAAGTGGTTATTATAATTTTGTTTTGATATTTCTTTTATATATTTTGAACGTATGATCCGCGATCAAAGACATTAAACGGCGTACGCCTCAGTAATGTGGCCAATCGGAGGATTTTTCCGAACCGAAGCACCCGAGGACAGAGCAGAAATACGAGTACACTAGGTACTACCGCAATACCTTTTTACTGGCGCGAACACGAGATTTTTCTACATACAAAAGTGTCGGAATTAATCGCGGAACTTTTCTGTGCTATTTTCCTGTGTTATGGAGGATTGGTGAGGTGCTAGACCTCATAATCGATTACGACGATGATCAGAAAGGGCCCTTTCACCGCCAGTCAAGAACACCAGTCTATGGCGTCCACAAGAAGTGAGTCCGTTTAGTGCCCTCGCTTTATTTCTGAGTTAATGTCAATTTTATACAGTCCATTAATCAAACCACTTAAGAATTATCGACGAAACACCTGCTATAGCCATAGAAAAATGATCATTCCAGGGGCGTCTAGGGGCGTACCCAATGTTTTTCTGCAAAATTAAGAACGTCAGATTTCCAAAATTCCTCCCGACAGTCCAGCTATCAAAGACTCACCTTGATCCAATGGATGAGTTCGGTGTAGGGCTCGAGCACCCTGTGGACGGCACCGTGCTGCGGCAGGGCCAGCCCTTCCGAGTTCCTATCGGCTTCGCCCTTGTGGTTGCCATAGTGGATGAAGAGGTTGTTCAGCTGCCGGCACAGGTCCCGCGAGAACTTCTCCTTCAGCTTGTCGAACTTCTTTCGTTGCTCCTGCGAGGCGATTGATTTTTATCCAGCTCGAAGGACCAATATGTTTGATGCTTTCAACCTTAAGATTAATGTCTTTGACATGACATTTATGGATATTTATGCACAAAGATTTAAAATACCCAATGATAACCTATTTCAGTTTTCTCTTCCCTAACAACACAGAGATATCCTGGGTAGGTCTTTTTTATGTTCCAAAGTACACTTTGATTGGAACATCCCTGGGATGTCCTGCTTGGTATTGCCAGGGGATGTTTCGACTGGTACATCCTTGAGATGTCGTATCCATGTCCCTGTGTATCCTGATATCTATTTCTATCAGAATTGATATGCAACAACAATTCTCATTAAAGATGCATCTTCGTTATGCCTCACTGAGTAAATCATAAGCAAGTGATCCTTACTCGCAACATAATTTTAGATACAAATATGAATAGTTAACGATATAATCACATAGAAATTTGTATACTAATGATAGCGCCAGGATTGAGGACTTCAACCTGCGGAACCGACGACCAAGTCACTCAGTCTCTCTATAATACCGTATATGTATGTACCTTGAGAATTTTTTATGATCGTCTCAGAAACGTCCTTCATATCATTGCAAAAAGTCCCTGGCACTTTCAAGGGATCTTCCAGGGATTCACTATTGCGGTGATGGTACGGTGACGATCTATAGACATGTCAGGCTTCCAAAATGAACCTACTAAGGACTTACCTTCAGTACGTTCTAGGGATATTCCAGGTACTACCTACCTACATCATCCCAAACACATTCCATGGATATGGGCCCTGGTATATCCTTAGGAAGTTCTGAAGTAAAGTCCTTGGTTGGTCCTTTTTGGAAGCCTAGGGATGTCCATAAACCGTCCCTAGTACATCCTGTGGCCCGACAGAGGCTGAACCAGGGACATCTTCCTACTGAATGAGGGACGTCGCTGGAATGTCCAGTGGAAGTACTTGTGTTGTTAGGGTTTTCAGTAAACTATAAAATGTTCATGTCTATTGCTTAAACAGGATGAATTCATTGAACATGCTGTGATAAGAGTGTATTCTTTTGTAAATTCTAGTCATCAGCAGATTCACTTACCTAGTAGTTTGGAAAGTATGATATTATGCAGAGGACATCAAGAATTATCCACATGTGAACATTAAATTCATTTCAATTACAACTGCAGTATAACCACATTTGCAAATGGGCTAGGATGACATGTTGAATATATGTAGCATAAGTATGATTTTTAAATAGTTCAGAAAGGGGTGTAATTCAGATAGAAAATTATCCCCACCATTCGATATTCCATTCGTTTATCCGTATTTGGCGTTTAGAGATTCATGAAAGAATCGCGGTGTCTACCTATTGTTATTCAGTCTCTGCGTTTAGGTAGTATACTATTTAATGATTTATGAACGAATCGCGCTGTCCATCTTTTTATTTTGTCTCCTACCTGTACGGCGGTCATTTGGAGCAAAGCCTTGTCGATGTCGCAGTTCATGGCCGCTCTGAGGGCGTTCGCAGCCTTCACCGCCGCTGCCAGACGCTCCGGGGTGTTGAAGTCGGCCGCTTGCAGCGTCTCTTGGTGTTCGAGGGGCAGGTTCAATTTGTACTGCAAATTTGATCATTTTGAACTTGTGATAATGAGCAAAAACGTAGTCATTTTCACGAATGTAGCCTATTTCATGATTAAAATATCGCCAGACGGGTAATCAGCCATTTCCATTTCTCACCGAGATGAGAATTTCAGTTTTTTTTATCGCTTGAAGCGCACGAAAGGGAATCCCTATAATGTTCAAAGAACATCGTGCGTTCCTAGGGAGGATAAGAACAGGAGGTAGGTATTGGAATTTTTTTTGAACTTTTGGAGATTATATGTTGTCACCACCTTTTGCATTTTATTATTACTTCATTGAAGATGATTGCAAAGATTTGCAAAATGGGTTTTGACAAGGGACGGCAGTCAATATGTCTGGAGAGCTGGGACGTGGGTTGCTTGTAGGCTATTAAGCAGTCTTTTCATTTTTGAAATGGGCGCCACTTAAATTTGATGTATATAAAAATAAGAAATTAAAACAGTGTGAAGTTTAGCCAAAATATAATTTATTCACTCATGATAGTACCCAAATGTATGTGATGGTTTTCATACTTTTTAAAGATGGTAAATTCCAATAGAGGGATGATCTTATATGTCCTTGCATAGGCATCAACTAAATCAAATGCTTAGTGAGACACAATGGTTACCGCATGCAGCTGCATAGGGTTGACAAGTACCATTGTGTATTACAACTCTGTTGTGAATTATATACCTTGAGCCTAAACCTTATATAAAGCCTTCAAAGGGACTAACTTTGACAAGAGAGTAAAATTATATGTCTGATCATAAACTTACTTCACACCTAAATGAAAATAATATGATTATAATAAATTCTGTGACAGGCAAGAAAATTGGTGAAATTAAATCACATAACCCCAACTAAAAGTTTAAATTGGATCGAGCTCACCGGGACTTGGATCTTTGACACCCAGAATCACCTCCTCTGAACTCCAGGAACCTCCTACATCAAAACACCCTGGATGGTGTCACCAGGACAGTGCAACTTTAACATCCTCAGGGGACGCCTGGACCTCGTATCAGGAGCACCTTCACTGGGACGATGCTTCACTCCAAAGGAGAAATCTAACTCGAGGAGCCTCTCGGAATCAGGGGACACCTCGGAGCTGATGAGAAAATCCGAGACCGAGCCGAAAGTCACCAGGTGGTCCGTGGTAGAGCAGTCGAAAATCGGCAGGCAGAATCCAGTTTCTAAGCAGTGGTCAATCTTACGGCAGCGGATGGTCTTTTCTGACATCCCTATGCCATGTTCAGGGAACAATTCGTAGCGAGTTTCTCGAATTACTCCTACTCGGAAAACTCGTGGATCTCGTGGAAGCCGGCAGATCTTTAATATAGAACGACCCTGTTGTAGGCCAAAAATATGATACCAGTGGTGCAAAACTCACCTTCCCTGGGGAATCGGCTTCGCACGACGAAATAAACGCTGAGTGATGATTTATCACCTCGCAAGGCAAAATCCAAAAAGACTTTTCTTTTCCCATCATGGCCTCGCTCATGCCAACACGGAAAAGGACAATCCCTTCCAGAAAGATGCTATTCTTCAAAAAAAACAAAATCGCAACATAGGGAAACCTATTCAAAAAAACAAACAAGGCCAACTATGCCTTCTGCGCAACGACGCTGCTCATGCGTGGGCACCGAGTTGAGTTTTAAACCAATCACAGGCTACCGAAGCTTTAGAACTCTAGCCAATGAGAAAATTGGGTTTACCCCACGTGGTTTGGTGACACTTGACATATGACACACGCCTTTTTAATGACATGACTTTCCACTTAGTATTCACTTCGACCTGACTTTAAGACTGATTCTTAAGTGCAAACGAACAACCCTAAAATGAAACGAAGAAACAAATCTGACGTGACTTGTGACCTATGACATTGACATGAAACAATTTGATATTTGACATTGGACAAATTGTAATTCAACATGCTGACAGCCAATGAAAATAAATAAACAAATTCGAATTTTGAAAATAACTTTCCAAAGAAACGAATTTGGGGAAGAATAAAGAAAGTCCTAACACCTGTAAGACTCACTTGGTAAGTACAATGCTTGTTGAAGCTCAAATACTTTCTTTATGATTTCACCTAATCTTTTGTTTTTCTTTTCAGATTGTTCCTGGAGCCTGGAGTTCAAGGATTGCTTGGAGATGATCACATCAGTTTGAAGACTACAGGGACTGACTTCAGGTAAGTTATCACTATGACTTTGTGTAAAAACCTACATGTTTAATTCAATTTTAGGCATCAATATTCCCAAAAACATAAACAGTGAGCCAACCGACCCAACAGGCACAAAAACAGGATGAAAAACCCAAAATTGTCATGTAATGTTATTCACTTCTTGTAAGTTCCTGTAATAAAATGTGAACTAAATGCTTAGCTGTTTACTTTGGATGATACTTGACTCAAGTCTGAGCACAAAAAGAGGAAACTGTACCATTCTGATAATTGAGTTTGGATAAAGGTAAATTTTCATGTTACAATCACCCCCCTCCTATGAAAAATAAAAATTGTAACATGGGTACAATTTTTATTTACTCTGAGAATAAACTACTTTGACCATTTTCTAATGATTTGCTGCTTAACCTATCTTACTATGGTAGAGAGCTCTCTTAACTAACTTATTCTATCTTACTTAGAAAGATGCATACAGTACTGTATTAGGACCGTATAACAATGTAGCATGGAAATTTACACAGGGAAAAAAATTAATCCTATGATTATATACAAAAAGATTTACAATTTAATCTTCAGATCCAGATTCGTGCCCACTCGACGCGATATCTGATAATGAACCATAGTATGGTTTTAAATTCTGAATATGCCACTCTCCGGCGTGACTACCGTCTTCATTTTTCAAGACATAAACTAATTTACTCTTTTTTCTACTAACTGTACATAGTACATATCGTGGTGCTAATTTTTGACTAAAACTGTTTGCTGCGTTAGACAAAACTATATCTCGTTTCCAGACTTAATCGCCTTCAAAAAATTCTTTCTCTCTCCGCCTGAGATTATAATACTTGGAATTTTTAGCATAAGCTAAATTTAACTTTTTCTCAACTTCTTTATAAATGTCTTTAAGATTACCCAAATTTTCTTTCCATACGTCCCTATTACCACACTCCAAATCATCTGATGTAATATTGCCATAATAATTTCCATTACATGGAACAATTCGTCCAAAATTTAAAAAAGCGGGACTATACCCGGTGACTTCGTGTACAGCTGTTCTAATGGCATAACCAATTTTTCCTAATTCTTTGTCCCATTCTTTGTGAGAATTCCCTATATAGCTTCTAATAGCTGTGCAAATTGTTCGATTAGATCTTTCAACAAAATTTGCCTGAGGATGGTAATACGGAGTATAAGAAATCTTTGATCCATAATCGGAAACTAACTTTTTCATTGAATTACTGATTAATTGTCTGCCATTATCGCAGATGATACGTTGGGGAACCCCATAAATCAAAAAAACGTCATTTTCAAGAAATTTCAAAATTGCTTGAGACGTAGCATTTCTTAGCGGACATATTACTGGATACTTAGTAAACCAGTCGCTAACAACCAGAATATACTGAAAACCGTTCTTACTTCTGGGTAAAGGACCCATTAAGTCAAGCGCAATAACCTGCCATGGAAAACAGACCTTTTTTTCCATGCCCATTAATCCATACTTCGCATAGTTAGGGGATTTTTGTGATGCACAGACTTTACACGATTTCACATACCTACATATATCCCGTCGCATTCTAGGCCAGTAGTATGATAGCTGAACCCTAGCAACTGTTTTTGAATATCCAGCATGAGAAGCTGTGGCTAAGTCATGATTTATATGAATAATTTTCCGTCTCTGAGGTTTAGGTACAAGTAATTTCCAATCTGAAATATTAGTCTCTATGGGTACTTTAGAAGGAGCAAATTTATATACATAACCCTGTTTAACTGTCCACTGAGGAAAAGAATTTGGAGACTCTAAAATTTGTCTACGCATTTTTTCATAAAAACTGTCCAAGTTGTCTAAATCCAAATCTAAGACATTACTATCAATATTATCAGTCGTAGCTACAACAAGACATGATGTGGATGGCTCTTCAGGCGCAGGATCCACAGGACTACGAGAAAGTGCATCAGGTACTACATTAAATTTACCTTTCCTATGAAATATTTCAAATTGAAATTGACTTAATTTTACACTCCATCGTGCTAGACGACCAGATGGGTCTTTCATGTTAAATAACCACTTCAAAGAAGCATGATCCGTGATAACGGTAAAATTAACTCCTTCAATGTAAGGTCTAAATTTTTCGCAAGCAAAAATACAAGCGAGACACTCTTTCTCTGTAGTAGTGTAGTTTCTTTCACACCGAGAAAGGCTCCTAGAAGCAAATGCAATGACTTTTTCGACTCCATCCTGAGTCTGAGTAAGTATACAACCTAACCCAACATCAGAGGCATCACACTGTATGCAAAATGGCAATTTAAAATTTGGACTGGATAAAATTGGTGCAGATATTAAGGCTTCCTTAATTACTTTAAATGCTTTTTCAGCGTCTGCTGACCAAGTGACTTTCTGACCTTTCTTTTTGTCATGAAGAAGAGAATTAATCGGCGCCATAATAGTTGAAAATTCTGGGATAAATCTGCGGTACCATCCGCACATACCAGCAAATCTTTTTATCTCAGTTGTGGTCTTAGGTGTTGGAAAATTCACAATAGCAGAAACTTTGTCGGGATTTGTTCGTAAACCGAAACTGTCGACTATATACCCAAGGTATTTCAAAGAAGGTTTCAAAAAGACACATTTGTCAAAATTAATGGTTAAATTTGCGTCTCGCAGACGACAAGCTACTTCCTTTAGCAATTTAATATGTTCTTCAAATGTTGATGAAATGATGATAAGATCATCTATGTAAACAAATACATGTGGCTCCAACTCTGGACCGAATACAGCATCCATCAACCTTTGTTGGCATTGGGCAGCATTTGCTA